CATGCCCAACTCCCTCCCTCATGCAAACATTTTTGGTACTTTTCTCATTATATTATATGCATGCACTACATACTTACCTACACAACAAATACTGTACCCTGGGGGTAGACAGATAATGTTTAAAAACTTATGTATATGAAAAATATATGAAACGCCAGCAAGGGAAAGACATTATAGAATCAAAGCGACTGTGTCGTATAACACCATACGGGGAAAGGGGAATGAAATTATAGTTACCATTTGATTATTGAAACAAGTTGAGTAGTACTTGATGAAATAGAAGCAAATCTACTTAAATTTTTACTGAAGCTTTATAAAAAATTTTTTTTATCAAAAAGAAAATTTTTTCCCCAAAGGAAATTTGAAAAAGTTTTTGGTGGCAGTAAAAGCATCTACCTGGATGTAATTATTCAGTTTTACTGTTCATTATTTTGTATTATAACGAATTTTTTTCCACATCTTCAACCTGTCCTGATGCAACATTTGTTCTTAGATACAGACCCCGATGGTATAATTTTTTCCAATTAGAGCAAAAATCAATAGTACCTTTCAGTGAATAGCCTTTGGGCTTCACTTTTATTCACTGGCCTAGCTGTTGACTTTTGCTCGATATGGAAGCTTATAAAAGTATGCAGGTGAACTTTGGGTTTTTCCCTGGCAAAAAATTCAGCCGGGGATTGAACCTAGGCCCTTTTGGGCTGTGGCTGAACACAACAAATAAGCTATGATCATAAAGATGGAACAAACCAGGGGGTCAAGCGGAGACTTAAGTGTGTAATAGACAAAGTTTAAATTTACTTCGAAACTGTACTAGCAGGTAAATAAAACTTCAAAATTGCGAGTAGTTTTGTAATTTATGAAGTCAGTTATACAGTTTCACAATGATTAGCCCCTTTTTAAGATGCTTAGTTTCTTTTGGGAATGAGTTACAGAACAAATCTTAAATTAAAAATAACCAAAGGATTTTGTCAAAAAGTTTCATTTTTTGCCATCTCAAAACTATTTTTCTAGCATTTTTTTTAGAATGTCAATATTAATCAGATAAAAGGATAAATTTAAAAAGGGTGTCCAAAAAGCAAAAAAAAAAGTCAACTCATCATGAAATTTTTCTGAAAAATTTTTAAAGTATATAAGTAAAAAAAAAAAAAAAAACTTCAAAATTTGGACATAAAACTTGCATCATTTTTGCCTTTAAGATTCATGAGGCTTCAGGAACTTAACCCTCAGAATTCTGTGGGTTCAAAATGTGCAGTACTACATTACTGGTGTACAACATTATTTACCCACTAATTTTCTTTTTTACCGGGTGGTTTTTTCCCGAGTTTTTTATGTAAAATTTTAATTGCTAAATAAGAACTTCAAGACGATTTATAAAGTAACCTTTCTGGGGGGGATCCCTATAGCATGGACAATCGGTTGCGGCTGCTGGATTTATCACCCCAAAAATCTGTAAAAGGGGGGCACTTAAATGTTATATGATTGTGCATAGTTTTTTATATTGATTTATAACAATATAGATTTTTATTTTTTTTAGGGGGGGGGTTATACTGTAAATCTGTAAAGTAGAAATAAAATCATTTTTAATAAAAATTTAAAAGATGCAAAGATTGATAGGTTTGTTAACCCCAAAAAAAAATAAATTTTAAATATACATGTATATTTTATATTGGGACAAGGGCATACCCCTTCCCCGTATTAATTTACAAAATTTAAAAGGAGAAATTTTTTAGTTTTTTTTTTTTGGCCCCCCGCCTGAGTGGGATAGGGCTGGTACGTTGAAAGAAAATATAAAATATATACATATATTTTTTTTTTTTTTAGCAATCGGCCGTCTCCCACCGAGGGGGTGACCCAAAAAAAGAAAAAAATCCCCCCAAAGAAAATACTTTCATCTCATTCAAAACTCTCACCTACCCACATAATCACGTTTTTGAGAGGTGCTCAAACACAAAAGTTTAGAAGCAAAAGTATAAAGATACCAAAATATCCCTCCCAAAAAGCTAATATCCCAAACCCCCCCTTTATATTCAGGCATTGTGCTTCCCATTTCCAGGGCTCAAGTCCGGCTATTAAAAAAAACCGTTTCCCTAGCAAATCCCTTTCACTAAATAATTAACCCTGCTCACACTCCAACCAGATGGCGTCAGTCCCAAGTACCATTTTTGTCTCATTTCGCACTCCTATCGAACACGCTCCATGCATGCCTGCTGTGAAGTCCAAGCCCCATCGCCTACAAAACCTCCCTTACCCCTTCCTATCCGACCAACCATTTCCGCGGACGACACCCTAACCCCTCCTTCCCGTTCTACAGATTAAAAAATGCTCTCCCATAGTCCATTCCTACTTTGATTCCATTCTCTCTAAATGACCATAACCCACCTCAACAAAACCCTCTTCAGCCCTCTGACTCAATACTTTTATTACGTCGTCACACCTACTCCTAATATTTCCACCGACTGTTCGAATTTTCTGCATAATATTTACTCCAACACATTGCCCTTAGATAGGACATACTCCACTGCATCCAACCGCACTGGCCTTGCTGCTGCATTCACAACTCCAATCTTCACAGTCCCATTATATGAGGTTGGGTAACTAACTATACTTTCAATACATTCCCTTCTTTGCCTCCATAAAAACACGTTTTTTGACTCCACAACACTAACACACACACAAACACACAACTACACACACACTACACACACACACACATCTACATAGCGGAACAATGAAACAAATAAATTTTAGAAGCAACACTTAATTTTAAGTGTTAAAACTTAGGTAGCTGATCCATGTGAAGAGGTGGGCCAAAGGAGCACGGAACTCGACCCCCCGCAACCTCAACTAGTGATACGAACTAGCTAGTGTATAGATATATATAATAGACTTCCAGAAAGAGATGTACAATGTTTTACTAGAGGTGCCCACAGATATAACAGATCACTTAAGTTTTGTAGGCTATACACTGAGAGTAAAAAGAGTAGATGGATACCAAGAGAATAGAATCATCAGGGAAGAGAGAGGTGAATTTATAATCTAAAAGCGAAGGCAGTAGGTTAAGATATAAACTAGCTATTGAGGCATAGATGGAGCGCTAATGAGAGCATAGGCAAATCGTGGGGTCGAAGAGGTATAGGGTAGGTTTAAAAATGTAGTGTTTAGAGAGTGTTCAGTCAGAAGTTTGTGTTACAGGAAAGTGGTGCAGGAGGATGAGGAGCGATTGGTGGACATTAT